CACATGATGCAACATGACATTTCTCGTAAGTAGATCGTAGCAAAGTAGCAACATCTACAAGACTTACAGGACTTTCTGTCTCTTGCTGAACAGTAAAAAAGGGCTCTCGTGCGCGTGCCATGGATCCATTCCTAAGAAGACGTAACACTGGAGCACCTGACAATCTTCATCCGCATATGGATGGTTGTCAAAATTGTGGTCCCTTTTGGGTACCCTAAATAGTAGGTGGCGTATTGTGATAGGGATCCAAAAAAGGGACCATGATTTTGACAACCACCCAGATATTCCCAGGGTCCACAAGGGCACGCTTTTGTCAGACGGCCCCAGCATTAAGAGTGGGTTTAGGGTTTATGTATCTTTCCTTTGTTGTAGTTATGGGTCATGGCTGCGGCTTCAGAGTAGTGCAAGATACGCTTGCAAGACCGTTCACCTTCATGTCCGCACAGTTCCCATGACTTGTACAGAAGCCTGATAAGTGAGAAGTAGGACGGGATCCATAGGGTTTCGGGTTTAGGTTTGACTTTAACATGTTCTCTCTCGAATTACCGTATACGCCACCCTTTTCCCTAAACCCCCAAAACCCTAAACAATATACCCTAAACCCTGTTAGAGCCTACCTCGAAAGTCAAAAATCTTAATTCTATTCTGGCTGTCAGTGTGTTTCATTGTATATACCGGCGAAACCGTGAAGCCCTAGCATTAAGGGTGGACTTTGGGGTGTAAAAGCCCATCTTCGTGAAGTATGTGGAAATATGGACCCTAACTCATATAATGTAATATGAATAATGTTTAGGGTTTAGGCCCTAAACCCTAAACTTTAGGGTTTAGGGTTTAGGGATGATATAATATCAGGCCCATACTAGGGGCCCACACCTCCAACCTTAGATACCCTCCCTCAGCCTTTGAGGCGCGTGACACCCTATGTAGGAGCCTCTGGAATGACTCAGACTAGTTATCATTCTAATCCCATCATGCTAGTAGTCCCCTCCCAACACTAAACATGACCCCCAATATATAGGGTGTTTTATGGAGAAATCTTGAGGGGCCATGACCCCAAGCATCCGTAGATACATCTCCATAGATCCCTAAATAATCCCTACACAAACTCGAAACCCTACATAAACCCTAAATCCCGCACCGGTTAACCGTGTGGCTAAACCTAAACCCAAACCAGCTGAGGCCCTTACTTGACACCCTTAACCCTAAACCTTCAACCCTGCTACCTAACGCCTAAACCCTACACCCTAATCCCTCAGCCCTAATCCGTAAACTGAAAGCCCCAATCCCTAAACCGTAATCCTTAAACTCTAAGCCCCAATCCCTAAACCCTAATCCCTAAACCCTGAACCATTCGAGGCCTTTACTTGACTATGGCGGCCCTGGTTGGGATACGTGGAGGACTCCATGGTCAGGTCGCAGGGCGCAGAATTTTGTGCCAATAAAGTGGGTTCAGGGTTTTCTGGTTCAGGGTTTTAGTGTTTAAGGTTTTAGGTTTTGAAGGTATGCGGTTTTAGTGTTTTAGGGTTTGGGGTGTAAGGTTGCAGGTTTTAGGCTTTAGGAGTTTGGGGTTTTAGGGTTTACGGTTGAGGGTTTTGGGTTTTTAGGGTTTTTGGAGTTAGGGTTTGAGGGCTATAGGGTTTAGGTTCAGGGTTTGAGGGTTCAGGGTTTAGGTTTAAGGGTGTTGGGTCTTGGGTTGGAGATTTTGGGTTGTTAGGGGTTGAGGGTTTTAGGGTTGAGGGTGGTCGTCTTTAGGGGTTAGGGTTTTAGGATTTTAGGGTTCATGGGTTGGGATTTCGTGGCTTCAAAGGGTTTCAAGGGGTATATAAACATTTGCAAAGGTTATAGGATCTATGTAGGGCTCAGGGTTATATGTGGGATTTATCTTATATATATATGTATATACAGCATATATCATATAGTGTGTATATATATATGTATAATTATTTATTTAACATTATATGTATATAACATTTAGGGGTCACATATTCTTTGGAGCTTAGGGCTCAACTGTTGGTGGCTCTGACGGGGATGTAGAGGGGTAACAGACATGACAACCCTAAACCCTAACCCGTAAACCCTAACCCTAAACCCTAACCCTAAACCCTAAACCCCTAAACCCTAAAAACAGGATTTGGGTTTGGGACTTCCAGATTCCCCGGCTCAGGCTCAAAAAGTCTTTGGCTTTGAATGAGGTTACAAGGGCTTGTTATGAGGGATTTCTGAAGTTTATGTAGGGCTATGTAGGGTTTACGTTTATATGAGAGCTCTGAGAAGGGGTCAGGAGTTCGTGGCTTCGAAGGGGATTTATAGGGGTTGTAGATGGATTATAGGGTTTAGAGTTTAGAGCTCAGAATTTTGGGTTTAGAGCTTCTCGCTTCGGGGGTCAGGAGTTCGTGGCTTTCAAGGAGGCCTACAACGGGGTGCCTAGGGATATAGGGTTTAGGGTTGTAAAGGAGATATGTGGAGTTCGGGGCTTCGAAGGGTGTATGTACAAGGCATACATATATGTATATATATATATAGATATACACTTACAACCACCACCAGACATATTGTAGCCCCCCTGGTTAATTAGTAACATTCTTACTAAGTCCCCCTGACCCTCCAAGCAGGGATTATGTGAGGTTTAGGGTTTAGAGCTTTGGGTTGGGTATATATAGGGGTTTAGGGTCTAGGGGTTTAGGGTTTAGGGTTTAGGGTTTAAGGGCAGAAGGTTTAGAAATTAGGGTTCAGGGGTAGGCTATCGAATCACGATTTGCTGAGACCGGAACCTATGCACAAAATCCTGAGCCCCAAACCCCACGTCCTCAACCCCAAGCCCTAGCCCCTAAATCTAACGAAATTTCACACGGGTGGTTCCCCCCATATAAGGCATATGTCAGAGCACCCGCCTGAAAAGGAAATTCCCCACCTCAGAATGCCATTTACCAAGCCCTTTACCCTAAACCCTACACCTTAAGCCCTAAACCCTAAACCCCTAAAACCTGAGCCCTAAACCC